TTCCTTCCTCTTCCTTGCCTTGCTTTCTTCATCATCATCAAACACATCATCATCATCATCATCAAACACCAAAACCACAGAAAAAAAAAAAAAAATTTTTACCCCTGGGTTCTTCGAACCCAGCGCCTGGGTTCGCCTGGGAACCCAGCGCCTGGGTTCCTTGGAACCCTGGCGCTGGTTTCATGGAACCCAAGCGCGGACCCATGCCTGGGAACCCAGGCGCTAGGTTCCCAGGTGAACCCACACCTGGGAACCCAGGCAAACCCACGCCTGGGAACCCAGCGCCTGGGTTCCGGCGTGGGTTGGAACCCAACGCTTGGGTTCCGGCGTGGGTTGGAACCCAGGCGTAACCCCTGGGTTCCTTGGAACCCAACCCGGGCAAGCGTGCTGGGTTCCTTGCGAACCCAGCGCCTGGGTGCCTTGCGAACCCAGCGCCTGGGTGCCTTGTGAACCCAGCGCCTGGGTGGGTTCGAAGGAACCCAGGCCTGTTAGGTTCCGAGGGGAAAGAGAAGGGAAAGGGGAAGGAGAAAGGGAAAGGGAAAGGAGAAGGAGAAAGAAAAAAGAAAAAAGAAAAAAGAAAAAAAGAAAAAAATTTTAAATTTTATTTTTCATAATATTTTTTTATATTATTATTTTTTCCACATCATCACTTTTTGACTATATTTTCTTCCACGTGGATTATTAGATGACATGTCATCATGTTCCCGTTAGTTAACAACACACGTCACTAGATTTTTAACGGAAGGACCAAATCGGGGTAAAAATGGTAAACAGTAGGGACCAAATCAGGGATTTTTTTAGTCCAGGGACCAAATCGGGGGTCCGTACAATAGTTCAGGGACCAAAAAGGGGTTTTAACCTTTTTTTTATACGAAATAGAGAAATATATTAAATAATAAGAAATTACAATAAAATCTCTATCTCATCAGTATAGTTTAAGAACAAAATCAGAAGCAAAAACTACAACATTAATAACAAATTTAAATTATATTCATGACGAATATAGACAATTAAATAAAAAGAGCCATCTATAACTAGAGATTGTCTATGTGGGCAAAATAAGGCTATTAATGTAGAAAGGAAGGTCTCTATGAGCATAAAAAACTATTGGATGTTCTCACCTATTTAACTAACTTCAAGGGGAGAGCAAGGGATTATGACAACAAATAGTTCTCAACCCACAAGTTGCCACCCTATCTATTCTTAAAGAATTACCAACAGAAGTGGCATGGTCCTCCTCCATACAAGCACAAGGCATCCCACTTGTCTCCATCTGCTCCCAACCATGGTCCCATCTTTTCCAATCCTCTTCAAGCCCTTGCTGTTGAAACTCATTAAGGGAACTAGAGCCCCTTTACTGACTTGAATACCATTCTTCCCTTGCAGAACACAACCAGCTTCATATACAGCATCCCTTTCTTTTATTATTCGGTTGCTTGATTGAAAACTTATGTGAACCAGTTTCTTTGAGTTCGATCCTCACCAAGATCCCATTCGAGAAGATGTGCCAAAGCAAGATTCTTGCCCATTGAATAAGAGAAACCCTATCCACTGGCAAGAGCAATTCTCTCATTATTCTAGTCACAGCCTTCTGAAGTCAACAATAGATGTAAAACTAGCTGACCTCTTAGGATGCCAAAACACTATAAAACCTAAATATGCCACTGCCTTGTGGTCCCTTGGGTTGGAGTTTCCAAAGCAAGGCAATTGACTAAGATGAAGGGAGAGATCAAGAGGAGAAAAATAGGGGTAAGAAGAAGGTAGGGATGAAGGAACTCTTTTATTGGAGAGAAACCTTAAGGAGGAAACCTATTGCCACTGATCTCAACCTTAGGAGCAATCCATGGGAGCACTCACATCTGAATCATAAGACTTTTAACTGTGTAGCTTTTGTAGAATGTTAATACACAACACTTTTAGATTATTAAATTAGGTTTTGGTTAAGTTCGTTGTTTAATTTGTTAAGATTACTTAAATTATTAAAATTTTATTTTAATTAATTGTTAAAAATAGTTAATAATTAATAAAATAATTAATATTTATTATTTAATAAATTAAAATTAATTTATAAATACATATTTTCAAATATCATAATTAATCATTTGAAAAAATTATAATTTGATAAAATTACAAATACAATAGTTAATCTTAACAAATTAACAAAATAAAAAGCCACAATAACCCACCCGGGTAGTTACAGCACAAGCAACTATTTTTCTGTTTTTTCTTGGAAGCTAAATTTCTTTTATATATCAAACATATATATGGTTCCTTTCTAAAAAAAAACATATATATGGTTCCGTGCAAGTCAATTGGGTACAATGCTTGTATCAAGTGAAAGCAACCCAAATCCATTAGAACCCAATTTGTTATCCTATGTACCATCCAACAAGGCATGATAGAAAACCAAATATTTTCCTCGGATGATAAAAAACGAGAGGTGGTTAAAACACCATTTTCACCCAAAAAAAAAAAAAAAAAACTAGGAGAAAAGAGAAAGACTTTTTAGGCGAATAAAAACAACATTTTTAAGCCCTCAAACTTTTATATGAAAACATGACAAATATAGCCCTGATCTTGATCATTGCAGCAAATTGACCCGAAGTTAATAATGTAATATAATTGTGACCTCCTGTTGCTTTAACACGAGTCTAGTTAGTCACTTATCCTCCATGTCCATGACATTTTTAGTTTGATATGAATGCCACACTTAGAATTTAAACCCAAAATATCTTATTTATTTAACATATCTTCACTAAAACAAACTTTAAAAGTTTCAATTTAATATCAACTTATGAGATGGAGCCAAGGAGCATAGGTGGCTAAAGAAAGTCAAAGTCATGTGTAGTTAGGTGATCCTTGGACCCTGCCATTAAAATTGGTCCAATTTGCTAATGCTTGTGAAGATCAAGAGTTTCTTTTTGCCAATTTTAAAGTTGTGTAGCTTACTAGTAATTTGGACTAAAGTTCAAGGACTTAATAGTTTTGCCTACCCTTTTTTGTTAAAACGACGCATCGGTGAACACCAAAATTGCACGTTATTCCATCTCTCTGAAAACCACGTTACCGAACCAAATCTCTGCCACGTAACCAAGGGCCCCACTCTCTACGACCTCAGAAAAGACACCCAGACGTGTAGATTCATATGCCAGTGCCACCATCGGACAACCTCGAACCCCCACCAGATTCTAGGAATCAGTAGATTACTTCAACGACCAAAATTCCATCCCAATGGCCGCGGTGGCGCGTGCAATTCGCTGCGAGCTCCCGTCCGGTAAGCCGGCCGTCTCGAGGAGGGAAAAGGGTACTAGTCTGGCACCGGTTCAGAGAGTGAAATTGGGTGAAGCGGAGAATGGGAAGATAGTGCTGCAGCCGAGGTTGTGTACGTTAAGGACGTATGGGTCTGATCGAGGCGGAGTGATGAGGACGAGGAGGGATGGCGGTGGGGATCATGTATCCCCCTTTTTTGAGACGCTGTCGGAGTATATTGAGAGCTCCAAGAAGAGCCATGACTTTGAGATCATGTCCGGGCGGCTTGCCATGGTGAGTACCTTTTTTTGTCCTGATTCTGTTTGTGGGTTTGTCTATGTGGTCGGTTATTTGGTATTCAAATTTCAATCCTTCTGCAAATTGAAAATCTTGATATCATGAGAATTTGAATCTTGTGTAAATCATACATTATATATATGGTGTTGAAATTTTCTGGCATAGTTTTTAGGGCCTGTTTGGTTTTTCTATTAGCAACATATCATAGCTGTTTTCTCTAATTGAACTAATAAAGGTGTTTGAATTATAAATAACAATAATAATAAAAAAGGGTTGGATTCATCATAAGTACATAAGAAACTAAGTATCAGTTTATAAGTCAAGATCTAAATTTTGAGGCCAACACTCAAAAAATTAATTTCTTTCAATGGATAAGAGAGGAGTGTAACTTTAAAACTTTCCGAATGGATCAGTCTAGAAACTGATTTGAGGACACTTAGGCCATCCAAAACCAAACAGTGCCTTAATTCTAATGTATTAAGATTGATTTCATTTTTATTTACCCATATGGAGTTCAATTGTGTATAAAGAAGGGGGAAAAGGGAAAAAAGAAAGAAGAAAGCTTTAGGATCCAAATTGAATCTGAGGAGTATTATGGAGAGATTATATTAAAACCTTCTGAGTATGTTATGCAATCTCATACATTATTTTCCACAGATTGTGTTTGCAGCAACCGTGACAACAGAGATGGTGACTGGAAACTCAATATTTAGGAAGATGGATTTACAAGGGATTGAAGAAGCAATTGGGGTGTGTTTGGGAGCTATGACTTCTGCTGCAATCTTTGCTTGGCTATCCAGTGCTCGGAACAGAGTCGGCAAAATCTTCACCGTCAGTTGTAATGCATTTTTCGATTCACTAATTGATCAAATTGTTGATGGACTGTTCTACGAAAGTGAGCTCAGTGACTGGTCTGATGAAGTCTGAATTACCACTGAACTTGAAAGAAGGAAGAACAAGGTACTCTAATGGGCAAAGCCGCCTCTTTTTGTAGATTGTATTAGTAAAGAGCTAGCTTGAAAATATTACTTGATAAATAGAGATGCAATTAGCTGTATTTACTAAAAAGCTGGTTGGTGTATACTATCATAAAGCTTTGTGGCGTTTAAAAAACCATGGAGATGAGATTTGAGTTATTGGTTTGTTGTTGATGTCCTCTTGTAAGGTACTAATAATGCAATTAAGTACTTGAATACATATTCTTAAGAATTTGAGTTTTTAGCAGACCTCGTGTGGTTCAAGTGGCCACATGACCCTTATGCAGCAGGTGATTTGTATCTTTTTAGTGGTTTGAATTTCTCTACTAATAGATATTAACACTATCTCTAATCAATTTTTACTGTTAAAAAAAAAAAAAAGAATTTGAGTCTTTATATTTAAAGATTTTAAGTTGAAATGTTGGGATGTATGTTAAAAGTTTCAAAAAAAAAAAAAGGACTATCTTTTTTTAGTGCAACATTTGCCATTACAAAATACATATAAAGTCATACGCAATACGTTTGCTTCCATTACTTACTTTATCTCAAATAGATGCCTCATCATGCAACTTACTATATTTCATCACAACGTAATTTATAATAATTTTTCTACCAATGACATCAAATCCTCAGGAAAAATTAATTTAATATTTTATAATTTAAATTATAATATACTACAAAACATTTATTTTCATATAAAGATCTGCCCGGATACTGGACGTGAAAACAAAAAAAAAAAAGAAAAAAGAAAAAAAGAAGGCAGTTGCTATTTTTAGCGTCCACGTCAACGTAGAAATAGTCGAGCAGTCCACGTGTCACGTGCATCCCGTGCCGCACTGCAACTCTAGAACTGAGAAATAGCATCTTGTCTGCTCCAACCTGCAATCCCCGCGCACAGCAAAAATATCTCTACCGCCTTCCCCACCGTTCAATGGTAGTCGATCATCATCGCCATGCCAATCCTTAGCTCTCTCTCCTTCGTTTCCTCCCCACTCTCTCCCAAACTCCACGACGCCTCCATTCCGCTCTCCTTTCCTCGCTTCAATCCCCAAACGAGGCTTGGATCTCTGACTCTCCGTTTCCGAAACGGTGCTGTGGCCTCCACTGTTACCGGAATCGAAGTCGGTGAGGACTTGCCTGCTGATTATGGCGATTGGATTCCCAAGGCCGATCCTAGCTGCCGGAGAAGAGCCGGGATTTTGCTTCACCCGACCTCCTTTCGCGGTCCCTACGGCATCGGAGATCTCGGCAGCGAGGCCTTTCGCTTCATTGACTGGCTGCATTTAGCTGGTTGCTCTGTTTGGCAGGTAATGTCTCTGTTTCCATACCGAGAAATGTTTTGGCGAAGCGATTGGACGAGAAAGCTTACGCGAATTCAAGAAATTTTGTTGTGAGTCAGTGTCGTTGCTTCTGTACATTTCATTTGTAAATATAAAATTGATTCAAAATGCATTTATGTTAATGCAGGTTCTTCCACTTGTTCCTCCAGATGGAGAAGGATCACCATACTCAGGGCAGGTGCAATTCTATCAGTTCTTTTTCCTTTTGAATAATTAAATCTGCAATTGATAAACAGGATTTATGAAACTTCTTCCAATGCCGGAGATTATTTTGAGCTGAATTTTGTTTTTTTATCGAATAAGTAGAGGAGAATAATTCAGCAATTAATTCAGTACATGCCTTAATGTCATCAGTTATCCTCTACAAAAGTTTATTTTTCTTGTATCTTTGAAATTTTCCTTTTATCTGATGCTTGATTTTGATTTTATCTAATTTAATTGCTGCTAATTAAATTTCATGTAGTATGATTGCCTTGATACAAACTAAACAATTTGAATCCAAGTATCCGACAAGAAATAAATTGGTGATATAATAGTTTAGGTAAATTAGTTGGGTTTATTGCAGCTGATTGTGTTTATTTCTCTGGATCTATAATTATGACTGTCCTCTCCTTGATGTTTGTTTTCAGGATGCAAATTGTGGCAACACTCTTTTGATTTCTCTTGAAGAGCTTGTTAATGATGGCTTATTAGCAGAGCACGAGCTTCCACAACCAATGTGAAGTTTTGATATTTGACTCAAACATTATATTGAGCGATACCATGTCACCTGTTCACATGCTTACTTCTTGTTCCTATTGTGCCATTCATGCAGTGATGCTGACAGCGTGAATTACTCCATTGTTGCTAGCATAAAGGATTCTTTGATCACTAAGGTAAATGAGAGTGAATGTTGATTCTCCAACTGGTTTGCTGGGATTGAATACTATGGTTGTTTGTGTAGCCTCACGTTGGTGGCCAATTGTTCTATCACCAACTGGAATTTTATTGATATCACATTATCTAAAAGCGGCATATTTTTAAGAGGTTTTTTTTTTGGTAACAATTTCATGTCACTTTATTGTTTCTTAGGCTGCAAAAAGGCTCCTCTCTAGTGATGGTGAACTTATAACTCAGCTTGAAGCTTTTCGTAGAGATCCTATCATATCAAGTGAGATTTTTTTTTTTTTTTTTTTGGCCTTCAACACAACCTCCAGTGAGATAGTTATATATTTCATATAATTAGGCATTATATTAGCATCTTTGATTTCTAGTTGCTGTTATTCACTTTTGCAGATCAAAGACAGTAATAAATTTCCATCACATCTCATTTATAACAGTACATAAGTTTCTGTGAAGACACTCACAACAATACATAAATAGACTGTATGAAAAGTGAATTTTCATTGGTGTTGGTTCCTTTTTTAATTCTAACTGTCAATTTTGATTTAAGTTTATTAAGGAAAAAAAAAGTAGAAAAGTGGTTGAGATTGATTTTCATGTATTGAAGTTACAAAATCAGATCCCATTCAAATATGTAGAGCACATAAACACTTAAATACATGTATAGTTGCACATATTAAAAATGCATGTACAAAATCATGCGTGTGAATTATGTTGCATTCATCCTTTACATGTGTATTCCTCGATCAGTGATCTGCCTCATGTGATAATTTTGTTTTGTTTGTCCATTTTGAAGGCTGGCTTGAAGATTCAGCTTATTTTGCTGCTATTGATGATAGTTTACAAACATACAGCTGGTATGAATGGCCTGAACCTTTGAAAAATCGCCATCTTGCTGCCTTGGAAGAGACATACCAAAGCAAAAAGGATTTTGTAAGATTTGGATATTTTTAATCAAATTTATTGGCTTTATGATTTCCCATGTTAGCTACTTGATTTGGAACCAAAAATCTGATATATCACATACTATTTTTACTTGTGAAGATCGATCTGTTCATTGCTAAACAGTTCCTATTTCAAAGGCAGTGGCAAAAAATTCGTAACTATGCACAGCTGAAGGGAATCAGCATAATGGGAGACATGCCCATTTATGTAGGCTATCACAGTGCTGATGTCTGGGCAAACAAGAAACAATTTTTACTAGTGAGTAGTTTTATGCATGGGGACTGCAAATAAGTCAGTGCTCCCTGATCATTTGATTCTTGGTGCTCATTACTGATTTACTTGTTTTGTCTGCAGAACAGACATGGTTTCCCTCGCCTAGTTAGTGGTGTACCTCCTGATGCCTTCAGTGAAACTGGTCAGCTGTGGGGAAGGTTTGATTTTTAAAGAGTTAGTTTTGCTTGTAACATCTCTTGTATGCTTACAAATGAAAAGGCAATATTTATTTCTTTAGTTTTTTACTTGTTACATAACAATTTCAATTGTGAATGCCTGATGATTCCTTTTGTATCTTTTTTCCCCTTTTTGTCTGCTTTCTTTTGTACTGAGAAAATTTGTTATTGTATTGCTTTGCATTTCCATTTGGTTCTTTGCATTACAAGGTTGGGTGTCTTCAATTCAATTCTTAGGGACCTTTGGTCAAACCATTCATTGTTATTATTTTTATTAGGAAATAACCGGAATCACATTATAAGTTTCTTCCTAATATATGCTATCATTTGCTCTTATGTCACTTGTGCAAGCTACTCTGTAAACTAGTATTTTTCTATATTAATCAGCATACTAACTACCTTGTGCTTGAATTAAGCCCTCTATATGATTGGAAAGCTATGGAGAAAGATGGATTTTCATGGTGGCTTCGACGCGTTAGACAAGCACAGAATCTATATGATGAATTTAGGATAGACCATTTTAGAGGATTTGCTGGCTACTGGGCTGTTCCTTCTGGTGAGACAAATTATCAAATGGCATGGTAAATTCTATATACGAATGTTGTGCTAATATGTTGTTCACTAATTTATGATGGTACTTTGCAGAAGCAAAAGTTGCAATGGTTGGAAGATGGAAGGTCAGGTTACTCTAAAATCAGATCAAATTATTTCTTGAATTATGTTTCCAACTCCAGCTATTATTTTCATGACAGTAGGTGGGACCTCGAGATTCCTTGTTTGATGCCATCTCTAGAACTATTGGAAAGATCAATATAATAGCTGAAGATCTGGTATGTTCATCTACTTGGATAGAGAAACAATTAATCCCATCTCCTTTTTTGGTTGTAGCTCTGTTATAATTTACAGTTCATTAACGTGCATTTTCATGAAAGTTTGGCATGCTTATGATAATGTTTATATCTATTGAGGTATTTTTGCTCCATTTTGCAGTTGAGCTAACTATAACCAGCCTGTGGGAGGATTGTAATATTGATGTGGTTCAATATTCTTTGCTTAATAATGGTTTTCCCCCCTAAAGGATTTGAAGAAAATAATCATTTATAGATGAACCAGTTCACTAAAGGGTCACCATCGATCTAATAATCACTTATTTGATTTGAATTATATGCCCACTTGCCTATTCTGTACGTCAATATATTTTGGGTTAATTGATGTACAGTGGCAGATTATCCTATTTTTGAGGTCACAAAAATTATGAGTAAGAAATAATGACAGTCCAGATAAAGCATAATTATAGAATCAAGTTTCCTATTGTTGTGGTTCTTAGATCTCTACATGTGGTCAAATATTTATTGTTATTCTGCTTATTTGTTGGTGCTTGCCTTTATTTCTTTTTGTTGGCTTCATAAAGTTATGAAAACCATGAAAGTTTCCACACTATTAACAACTTGTGAAGTTGTGTAGAGCAGATTGATACCAAGCAACATGGTATTTTGCATTCCCTTTGATTTGCTTCTGCTTAATTAGTTCCTACCTTTTTGGTTGTCACATGACAGGGTGTTATAACTGAGGATGTAGTTCAGCTTCGGAAATATATTGGAGCACCTGGAATGGCTGTTCTCCAATTTGGTAATAAGTTCTCCCACTGGTTTTATGCAATACCTCGCTTTTGAGTGGTTATGTTTATCTGATAGTGTAGATCTTCTGCATTCTCTGACATTGTTGTTCCATTCTTTATTTCTTGTTAAGGTTTTGGAAGTGATGCTGAGAACCCTCATTTGCCTCACAATCATGAGCCCAATCAAGTTGTGTACACTGGAACTCATGATAATGATACGGTAAATTTGTGGATCTCTTTATTTTTTTATGTTCTTAGTGAGATGGTCAAGGCTATGTAGTAAGCACTAAGGAATGGCTACTACTGCTGACCTGTTCATGGTTTTTTGAGACTAGAAATGTCATCTTTTGAATTCTTAGACATCACTGCTTATGGTTTTCTGATTGCGTCATAGATCCAAGGTTGGTGGAACAATTTGGAGGCATGGGAAAAGTCCAACGTGAGCTTTCATTTGTGTGCAGATCCATTGATTAAATGTATAGACTAATACTTCAGCATATGATCATGTTTATCACTCCCTATAATCTCTGACTCAGGTACTGAAATATCTTTCAATCACTGAAGAAGATGACATCTCATGGGCACTTTTCCAAGCTGCACTCTCTTCTGTGGCTCAAACCACAATCATTACCATGCAGGATATACTTGGGCTGGGGAGTTCTGCCAGGATGAATATTCCTGCAACAGAGGTAAGATATATGCCCTTATGAGTTATGAACAAGTATATATGTATACAGGTGATGCTGTGATGGGTTGTGACATGGGCCAACTGGGCTTTATGCCTCTAGCTGAGTGTGTTAATCAAGGATGGACTGTGTAGAGCAGTTGAGCAGTTCACTGCCAAGTAGAATATTAGCTATGTGCAACTCAAGATTTTCTCAGCATGGCTAAACAATTTAAGTTGTTTCTCCTATCATTTTTCTTCCATTGTTCTCACTTGCAAATTCCAATATATGGTTTTCTTCCTCTCACAGGCACAAGCTTTTACTTGCAACATTACTGGATTTTAGAAAATTTTGTGTCTTGACCCAGATAATTTATTCTCCAATATGCTGCTCTAATCCAACATAATAATGTATTGATTCTCAAAGTTTTTGGCTGTTTTCCAAGCTGTTGTAATTACTGTGAAGAGACAAATAGCTACAGGGAAGCTACATTTTGAACATTTTGCTTTTCCAGTGTTACTCATGTTGGCCCTTTGACAATTATACTGTATGCAGACTGGAAACTGGAGCTGGAGGATACCTAGTTCCATGAGTTTCAACCACTTGGAAACAGAAGCATTGCGATTAAGGGATATGCTTTCCTTGTTTGGGCGCCTTTAGTTCAGAAAGCTAAGATCTTCTTCCACTATACTTGTTTGTAAGTTATGCCAGCCTGCCTATGAGTTGTCTAATAAAGGTCTGTCTGAGCTTTGAATAAGTTGTCAGAAATTAGAGATTTTAGAGTTTGATTGGAAGGAATAAAAGTGCTTTGATCTCCGGAAATTTCCTATTCTGTTTCTGGATAAATGATTAAATATTTGTTTCAATTCTAAGTATATATTCACATCCTTCAAAAGGGAGACAGTTGAGATCTCGATACCAATTATTAGAGTTCCTTATTTCCTCATCATTATAAAGTTCAATCCCCTATTATTACTCTATACATCCATATGTGAAGTAAATTAACTGTAAACTTTGGTGGACTTGAAATGCCAATCCAATAATCCTTTTTTCTTCTGTGTGTGCAGTTATCATTTAAATATTTCCATATACATTGGAAATAACCTTCTATTAATATGGAATTTCTGCCAAATTTTCTTGGGGATATTTTGAAAAATAGACAATTTATCAGAATCTGTACTTACAGTAGGTGAGAGGTTTTGATTTTGGACGATCTTCTATACAACCAAATTTGAGTATTTTTTGATTAGCAATTCAAGAACTTCGCACGTTCGTATACTGGAAAATAATTAAGAAGCTTTCTCAATTGCTTCAATGCACTCCAATACAGAGGCTTTGTTTGACATTGCTGTCATCAAGGCTTCATGAGTGACCTTGTTATTTTTCAAAAGGGATCCAGCAAAGAGAACCTGCATGTCAGCTGCAAGCTTAGCTATGAAGTTGAGGCACAAGCTAATTTTTCTGTACGTTGCAGAAATAGGGAAATTCAGGAACTTACGGCCCATCTAGTCAGATTTTGTTGTTGATCTTTGCTGAGTTTTGGGGTACTCCTGTTTATGAATCTCTACATGAAACACAAACCAAATAATTTACAGTCACAGGTTGAGTTAAATACTACATTAGTGAGGCTAGTTACAAAACCTGAAGCGTGAAAAGATCGGCAGATTGTCCAACCACTTTATCATACTTCAGACCTTCTGCTGTAAGGCCAGCCACCGCAACAACTGCCAACCTGAGATATATAATTATGGGAATTCAGCATTTTCTGTTCAACAGTGGAGTATTTAGAGAACAAAAACAGATTATGGGCCTGTTTAGTGCAGTTTGTTGGAACTTTTGCTTTTTTGTATTGTTCATGAGTGATGTTTATTGGATGAAATATTTAAAAGTTGCTTTTAGAGATAGAAAAAAGTAAGTAAAAAATGAGTAAAAAGCGAGTAAAAAAAAAGTTTATAAAAAGCTTGAATTTAAAACTTTTGATCTTTTACTGTTTATGGTCTTTTTAAGGTTAAAAAAATATTTAAAAATATAAGTTTTTACGAGGATAATTTAAACTTATGAAACATGAATAGTATCAAAAAGCTGAAGCACTTGGGAAGCTGCACCAAATGGACCCTATATTTGTTTGGCCTAACTTCTATAAAGATTTTTCTATTGTAAAAATTGAAGTTGAGTCAAATGCAGTTTTTTAAAAGTGTTTCTGAATTTTATAAAAAGTTGATTTTCAACTTTTAAATGGTTAAAAGTTGAATCTACAAATCTATATTTTCTATGGTAGAGCTGTGAAGTTTTGATCATTTTGATCAGATTTTAAATTTTTTTACTTTTCCAAAAACCCTACCAAAAAGACACTTCTACAAAATTATATGGATAGACATAATAAGGGTACTGAATACCTGTCAAGTTCCTTAGCATCAAGCTGCCCACCATATATCAGTTTTTCCAACCTTTCATCAATGAGATTGACGTGCTCTTTTCCAATATCCAATGAATACCCAAGGATTGGGAGGCCTAGCAAATAGGCAACTAAAATTCAAAGAGAAAAATCATCCCATTTCCATTAGTAACCAGTAGAAATTGGCATGTTTTTATATTGTGTGTGTGTGTGTAACAGATGTAGAAGCACTTATTTTGCTAAGAAAACAAATTACTTAAAAAATGAGCTGCTTCATGTCTAGCGATCCTCTCTTGGTAGTCTGGGAAAAATGATGAAAAACCTCCAATAGCAGCTTGAAGAAGTCTATTGAGGCAAATGAAGAGAATCAGTTTTTTAAAAAATGTACTTAATGATGACCAATCCTCTCCTCATGGTGACATTTTTTTACCCAACTCAACTGAAAAAATGCAATCTCTACACACACTTCATGACCTACCCTGGAGAAACACTCCCCACGGCCAAGACTACTAAGGAAATACTCCCAAGCAAATATGGCACAAAGAAGCCCCAATCCTGCAACAAAAATAGGAAACAAAAACATCAGGTCAAGCCATAATTTGTGAAATTGTTTGCCTAATTTTAAAAGCAATTGCAAAGTGGTGTGCATAATGATGCATTAAGTTAACCAAAAAGGAAAAAGGAGATGATTATATATAAACAATTCTTGAAAGCAAATTTATTGGGCTCATTGCATTCCCCTTCTCATGAGATCTTCACTTTATTTTTTTTTTTTGATGCACATGAGATCTTCACTTGATTATTCTCTTTATTGTCTGTTTGTTATTTATTCGCTCACAGAGAACTAACAAAGCAGAAAGAAAAGGAATCACAAAGGAAAAATAGTAGTAACATTACCCCGGGAAGCCAGCCAGCAAGAACAGCCAAAAATCCAGTGGTGCCAACCACTGTGAAAAGGAAAGCCGCCTGTGTAACTGAAAGATATCAAATATATGAACTTAAAGATCAAATGCAATTGCCCCCAAAGTCCTTGATCTTCATCTGCTTGACCTATGCTAACCATAGATACAAGGAACCCCATTATGCCCCATTGGATGGGCATCAAATGAAAAAAATATTCCAATGCAATTTGTGACAAATTTGCATCAGTTTGTAGGTACAGACATCTAATAAACGTTATAAAAATGTTTTACCTAAGAAATTGGGATTTTGGATCTTTCTAAGTCTAAAGAGGACTACATATGTCAAAATCTTGGATTGAATACTGGTTTGATTTTACTTACATCGTTTCTGACACTTGGAATTGCAAGGTTCTCTGCATTTTTAATTCCAAGGCTAGTGAGCTCCCTGAGAGAAGTCTGATGGATAGCATTTGAGTGTCAAGCACCAAACACATAAAAAGAATTCAAAGCTACATATATACATGGTGGAATTCAGGGGCTTGAATGCATTGTTTGCACTATGCAGATTCTCACAAACTTGAAAATGAGACTGACCGTTCGACGCGATACATATGGCTGAGAACTCCATTTCTTGGCCCAACCAACTTCACTCAGCTGATCAAGTGCCTCTTTAACAGCACTACTGTCATTCTGCAGCCAAATATGTGTACATAGTACATCAATAAGAAGTTTAATTTATACCCAAAAAAAAAAAGAAAAAAGAATTGGACTCCATTGCAACTATCCCATTTCTAGTTCTACTAAAAATTATAGTTTCGGATTCGAGGTGATAACAGGGAACCTTAGCAATGGCGGATTCGAGGGTCTTGAGATCGACATCAGATGCAGCAGAGGAGGATGCCCTGATTTGCAGGTTCTTCCGGGGGAGTTTGAAGCCCTTTTGGAGTTCGAAATGAAATGGAACCTTTAGCCTGTACGAAGAAGGCATCATGTTCATGATCATGGCCATTTCAGTTTCTTTCCAGAAGGAAATGTTGCCGCCGATGGTGGGGGGATAAAGTTGGCGACTTGGCGTTGGCGCCAGAAGCTGGATAAGAGAACGCAAGGCTATAAATTAACACAGAACAAAAACAAGAGAACTGTTGAGAGTGGGATTTGAACCCACGCCCTTTCGGACCAGAACCTTAATCTGGCGCCTTAGACCAACTCGGCCATCTCAACTTCTGTGGGAAACATTCGGAATTTTTTATATATAACAATTGTGATAAATTCCTGTATTTTCTATTTTTGGAGAAAAGCCACTTTTTTTGGATCCCATACTTTTTTTTTTGGCACATGTAAAATTGAGATCTACTTGACATAGGCACATGTAAAATTGGTATTTTTCTGGTGGCAAACTCTTAATCCAAACCAGAGGTAACCCTAAATGGCTAAGTCTAACTCTTAACCCAAACCAGAGTTAATTAGAGAAAGTAGACAAGGAACCCAATTGCTGTAGAATATAGAAAGAAACGCAGAACACTTAATGGTTTGATTTAATTGTGCATTTACATAAAAATTTAGAAATTTATAAAAATTACGTATTAACTTTAATTAGAGACTTAATAGCAAATTGTTTACTGCAGAGGCTACAAGTTCACAATATTTGTAGACTGGATCAAAGCTTCAGCTTTTTCAAAACAATAATATAAAAAAATATATTTTTTT